CCTCCGCGTCCGTCTCCGCTTCGCCTCCTCCGCCTCCTCCTCCTCCTCCTCCTCCTCTTCTTCCTCCTCCTCCTCCTCCTCCTCCTCCTCGTCGTCAGTCAATCATTTGTTGTCGCTGACGATGTTCAGTGACACATTAAACTTTTGTTTTACAAAGCTGCTGTCACTCATACTCACTTCATCTGATCCTCTACCTTCACTACAGCGCCACCAAGGTGCAAAGTCAGGGATAGAACTTCAGGTTTGGTTTCTACTCTTTCTTTTTTTGAACTTTTCACCACCAAACAAGACTGGCTAAAGGTTAAAGCCAAAATAAGCGACTAAGTTGACCAAAGTGATTAAAAGCTCAGTCCTTGTCCTCCGTCAGTCCATGTCCAGACTGGTCTCACCGCTGCCATCCAGAGGCAGGTCTGGACTCGCCCGGGCAGGGTCACGCTGTGGCCATAGCAGCACGTGCGCGCTCTGACGTGCACGTGCTGCCACTCTCTTAGTGTTTGTTTTCGGACGCTCAGTGAAACAGAGGAAACACTGAGTGTGGATGAACTGAAGAGTTTGTCAGACGTGGAGCTGGACATGTTGGACATGTTGGACATGTTGGACATGTTGGACGTGTTGGACTTCACCACAGTGAAGCTGGTCTGAAGCTGGTGTTAAACTGGTGTGAACGGCCACAGACTGGGTGTAAGATGAGACCGTTGCCGTCAACTGACTCCAGTATTTACACTCCATTGTTCCGTCTCTAACCCGCTGTTACCTGGACAGCGTCCCGGTGCTGAAGACTCCAGGAAAACAACGAGCAAAAACATGAAGGCAGAAAACTGCCATGTGTCCACGGAGCTACGGCTCTGGGTCGGAGAGAGAAGAGAGACAGCCAGGAGGCAGAGGTCACTGGTCTGTTTCCATCAGCTCCAGTTTAAAGGTTATTTCCACATATTTTAAGTTTAAGTCGATTCAGTGTTTGGGAATCAAACCTCTAACCATCTGGTTGAAGGAGAGCTTATCCACTTTCCACTGAAGCACAGCAGCGCCCATTTTGTCAGTTTACTGGTCACTTCCAACCTAATCAATCAAACACACACACACACACACACACACATCCAGTAGTGTAATGAATACACAGGCTCCTCCCACCGTTTCCCTGGCTATTGTTTCCTTGTTGTCTCACAGTGTGTGTATTAGTGACTGAGGCTCACACACACACACAAACACACACACACACACACACAGCTCAAAATGAATATCTTGGTTTAAAATAACACAGAAAGGCCAACAAAGAGACTGACCAATGACAGTGAGCGAGCTCTGGAATGTCGTGTAAAATGTTGAATTCTGATTCTGAGTCCAGACCCTGGACAGAGACCGGGCTGGACAGAGACCGGGACAGAGAGTTTGTCTTTTATTTTTATCAGACAGCTAATGAAAG